GGAATGTGGTTAGGCGCAAGCCGCAAAAACGCAGCAAAACCTCTGGGAATTGCTTGGCCAGCTAACTCTATACTCGCACTGGGAATTAATTTCTCGTATATTGATGAAATCGTTTACAATAAGAATTTTGAACAGAAACTAACCAATATGAAAAGCCTCCTTAAATTGTGGTATCCTAGAAACCTTACACTTTATGGTCGCATAACGATTCTAAAATCCTTAGCGATCTCCAAACTCGTTTATAACACGTCTGTCCTATCTTTTCCAATAAAATTCATCGCCATGGTAAATCAAGCAATTACTCAATTTGTATGGAACAAGAAAGCTAAAATTAAATACGGAACAATGTTAGGGCCGAAAGAGCAGGGAGGGCTAGACAGGCCGGATTTTCAAATAATCAATGAAGCGCTTAAAGTTGTTTGGGTAAGAAGATTAAGTGACAACAATGGAACCACAAGTTGGAGTCATATCCCTCTTTCCTACCTACAACCTGTTGGTGGTCTGTTTCTTCTGCAGTGTAATTTTGATTTAAAGCTGCTTTTAAGTTGATATACTGATTGATTTTTACAAAGAAGCTTTGTGCGCCTGGCAGAAAATTAACTGCAGTACTCCTAATACCAAAAAGCAGGTATTAAATGAAATTGTTTGGAACAACCATCACATTAAGATAGAAGGATATTCCATTTATTACAAAAAATGGCACGATGCTGGATTAACTAAAATTGAAGACTTTTTTTCAAGGTAACAGATTCTAACTTTTGAGGAATTCTGCAGCAAGTTCAAAATTAAAACACACTTCTTAAACTATTTCTGCCTATGTCACGCAGTCCCTCAAAAATGGATCAATATTCTTAAAGGAAATGTTACTGAACCTTTGGAAAAACGTTCTGAGAAGGATAAGATATCTTCAGATAAACTCTCTTGCAGATCAGCAACTAAATTCTTTGTTAAGAGTAGATTCGTTACGCCTACAGCCGAAAGAAGGATGAAAGAAGCCAGTCTAAAAGAACATACAATAAAATTCATTTATAGCCTTCCGTTTAATATTACCAAAGACACTAGACTCGCCATTTTCCAATACAAAATAATTCATCACATTTCTACCCACAAATTCAACACTTTTTAGAGATTCAATCAAGGAACATGATAAATGTCACCTCTGTGTAGAAAGACAAACGCGAACCCATCTTTTTGTTACCTGTTCCGAAGCTCGGCTTTTTTGGTCTCTCTTTACTAATTGGTGAAGCTCCTAAAACGGAATTAACACTCTCGATAAAATTGAATTAATATATGGCGTGACAGATCACTTCGCTCGTCATCTTGGCTTAAACCTCTGCTGGATTATAGCCAAATATTATTTATATACTGCCTCAAGAAAAGAAGAAGAGTTTCATTTCGGTGCCTTGTTAGCGATTTTGACAAACAAAATTAAGATTGAGAAACAGAAATTTAAGTCACAAATCAATATGTGAGAAAGCCTCCTATTGTAGCTAACCCCCTACATGAAAGTAATGCAAGATATTAACAAATTGCAAATAATGTTAGTATTGTAAGTTTTGTTGGTACCGGTATTTTTAAATTGTAAGTTACGTTAACATTGTAAGTAGAGTAGGCATTTTTTTTTTTCGTATCTAATGTAATGTTATTGCAATAAATTAAAATAATAATAATAAAAATTCTGATGAAGAGATCTCGTCATAATCTGAGCTTTCACTGCCTTCACTGGATACATTGGCCACGCTTTCCGCCATTCCTGTAATAGTTTTTGTCGAATCTAGCTCGTGACCCTAAACGATATCTTTGTTCTGATTGGCCGTTCGAATAGCGCGCGTGAATCAAAGAGCCCCGCGGTTTTTAAAAATAAAAAGATACGCGCACAAGTTGTCTGATAGGGTTTGTATGGGAGATGAAGGCTCCAGGTGATGCGCTCCTGTTTGTAATAGCTTTGGGGAAGGGGGTCTAAATAAACAATAGCGTCCATTTGGCGCGAAAATATGCTAGGATATTTGTCCCCGGACATTATCTGTTCCGTGTTGGGAACATCCGAGTGATATTCCTCGATTTTCAAGACTGCGCGTGTTGCGAAAAAGATTTGACGAATAATGAACGCAATAACCTCCATTTATAATGAAAATATGCTTGGATTTTGTCCTTGGACATTATCTGTTCCTCAAAGCTCACAGTTTTCTTCGAGCTAAGCTCTCGGAAAACTGTTCGCCTCTCGGAACAGATAATGTCCGCGGACAAATATCTGAGCGTATTTTCGCGCCAAATGGAGGCTATTGTTTATGTAGCTCTCCTGGTGTCCTTCGCTTATTCTCTGAGATTGTCATGATGGGGAACATCATGACATACTTTGATTAAATACTATACAGTAGATGTCGACAACAAAAGTGAGTTACTGGAACTCGTTTAGTTTAAAGTAGTATTGCGTGGGTCGGGGGGGAGTGGTACTTGACCCATGTTTGGGTATAGGGGTGCCGTTAAAAGTTTGAAATCCTGATTCTGTTTCGAAAAAAGAAATACTATGAAAACCCTACCCTGTGTGGGGCAACGCTCTCTATTTTAAGACCCTGCTAAGGACAAGAGATGAAGGTCATGAAATCCCTTTGCGACAGTGACATCAATGTCTGTCATCACGATATCCAGCACAAAGAACTAGACCGACTGGTACGATCTATTCCGTCAGTATGGGCGTTTTATTACAACGATAATCTCTTGATAACAAAATGTACTGGTACCATCCTGCACCTGTATACTCCTATATGATAAATTCATGTTCGAAAAATGAGAATACGTCATCTTTTCATTTTTCCCTAACTCAGTTCTTACATAGCCTGACATAAAACTTTGCAAGGTTAACTAAGATCAATAAACGAATTGCAGTTATGAACATATAATGAAAATAAAAGACACATTAACACGGGAAATATTGCAAGGCTTTTACAGAGAACTGACTCATCATGCTTAAATGACGTTTAACATTTCTAAATTAAATGTTTAAGTTTTGTTCATGCACAGTAAAACAAAGGTGACTACGAATGCAAACCATAAATCACAGTATGTGATGGAAAGAGACGCATTTCTTGGGAAAATGATAATGTTTGAAAGACCAGATGGGGAACTGCTACAAAAATATCGTCTGGTCAATTTAGTTTCTATCTTCCAAATTCTTAACAATAATGCTAAAAAAAAAACCTTTTTAGGTATTACCAATATTTTAATAGCCATAACAATGAACTGCTGTATAGACCAAATAATTCTCTTTGAATTTAGAGATATATTTGCAAATTCACTGAGGGAAGGTGCACAAGCAAGGGACAAAAAGTCCCTTGTACTGGAGACTGCACACTCGAACCCAGCTAACGTAAAATGCGTAAAAGTATTATCAGCTAAACAAGTAATACAGTACATCAATGAACGTTTGACATGTTGATTCGATCAGCAACTGAAAACACCTTTTTAGCAATTTTAATTCGAAGCATTAAACGATTCACTTGATTTTTATATGGCTCCTACAAGTAATGCATAGAAATTTTAATTGTGGAATCATTGTTAAGGATTAAGTATTCCTTTCTTGCTACTGAAAGCACGAATCATTTTCTACACTTAACAATCTGAGGAATATTTTCTGCGACAAAATGATTATACGTAGATCGATCAATCAAACGATTATTTGATTAGTTATCAAATTGACTTAATGTATACTAATATATGAAAGATATTCACATGAATTCTTCACCATCTACGGGTATATTACGAACGCACAAAGTGACCAGCTCCCAGATGGCTTGATAGCTCAGTTGGTAGAGTACTGCACCGGTATCCCAGAGGTCATGGGCTCGAATCCCGTTCAGGCCTGGATATCTTTTCAGGCTTTAATTTGACAATTACTTAAGTTGTGTGCATAAGTGCGATGATCAATGATGTCTTCATAATTTATATTGTTAGTCATACTCTAAAAGTTTTAAAACGCATAACAAAGTTAAGTGGCTATAAACTGTCCATTAAGTGTAGTCTTGAATTAAGTATGCTTGGTCATCCAGTGGGTCTGTCCTTGGCGCTGAAAATCTGTGGAACATCCGGGTCACTTTATTTTTGAGAATTCCTCGGAGAAGGCAACCGAAGCATCGCATTGGACACGAAGAAACTTTTTTCCAAAACATTCGCACATGAAGTAAACCTTCACCTGGCAAAATTGTAATATTAGTAATAATAGTATATTTGCGGGGCCTCGTTTTCGTACAGCATATATAGCGTTATACCTTAACTGATCATTGCACTGGAATTGGAAACGATGATTACTCTTTCTCCTTTACTTTTTACCATTACTTTAGTTTAATTTTATGTACGTGCAATTAATCAATTATCGGAGCAATGAGATTAACATTGATCATGTCCTTCAAAAGGTATAGGTTATTTTGATCCTATACAGATAAAGCTTTTGCTGGACAGCCCTCTTAATAGACTCCTCTACGGTTTCTGTTGACACCTTGGTTTTGGAGACGAACAGGATCAAAATTACCATAGGTTTAAAGGATAAGTTGGAAGTTCGATGCCAACAGTGTAACAATGATTAAACATTCTGAAGGTTTTTTTTTCTTGTTTCACAAGTTAAGGATATAAGGTTTAATAAGCAGAACAATGGCTGTGCCAACAGAAGGGGACTCCTATATAAAAAGGACGGGGATGCTCTTCGTACCTTTTATAGGTTAAGACCTTGGTTTTGGCACCTCTTAGGGTGTTAAGCCTCAAAAGGTCCACAGCACTAGCTTTTGAGGTATTTAAGGGTGTTGAGCAGAGAAAAATAGCATAGGAAACAATGTGTTGTTATAGAATTGGTACCTCTTAGGGGTAAACTTCCCCCTGTAAATTAAAAGAACTGGAAAGGCGTCTTGCTCCACTCTGTTGCAAGCAAAGTTCTTTGTAAGATCATTCTAGAGAGGGTTAAGGATTATCTTGATGACAGACTTCGTTGTAAGCAAGCGTGATTTTGCAAGGAGAGATCCTGCTTTGAACAGACTGCTACACTGAGGATTATCGTGGAGCAGGCCTTGGAATGGAACACTGGGCTATATCTGTTTTTTGTAGACTTTGGAAAGACCTTTGATCCGGCTGTAGATCGGGAGGTCTCGCAGCATTACGGGATCCCTGAGGATGATCCAGGTCTTTTACGATTGCTTCCCAGCAAGGGTCTTACATACATGCTGGTTATATAACAGAGCCCTTCAGCATGAGTAATGGAGTCCGCCAGAAATGCCTGCTCAGCCCCTTCTCTTCCTCGTCGAGTCACATTCTTAGTGATAATGAGACAGGATCCAACTTACCCTACTGCGGACGTTAGACGACTTGGACGTCAGAAGATCGCCCAGATGGGTCAGAAGTTGCCAGGGTCGGACTCAAGGTAAATACAGCCAAAACCAAGGAGATGAGGATTCGGTCCCCAGCAAACACCGGCAACATCAGCTTGGAAGGAGAGGTTCTGGAACGGGTAACAGCCTTCACATACCTAGGCACCCTTATCACCACCAAGGGCGGCACTGAGGAAGATGTTGAAACTGGGTGCAGGAAGGCAGAAGCTGCTTTATCCATTTTAAGACCAATATGGAGATCAAAGTTCATCTCTCTGTGACGAAGATCTCCAATTCCAATGTGAAGTCAGTTCTGCTTTATGGATCCGAGACCTGGAGTCTAACAAAGTAGATTAGCGCCCAACTCCAGAATTTCATCAACTGCAGACTCCGGTACATCTTAGAGGGGGCCAAGGAAGATCTCTAATGAGGATTTGTGGCAGCGTACCAGGCAGGAGGGAAGTTAAGTTATCATATGAAGACGGAAATGGAAATGGTTGGCCACACTCTAAGGAAACCTTCCACCAACATCATCTGCCTGTCCCTTGAAGGGCCGCCTCAGCTAAGGGGCTAGGAGGAAAGGCATACCGAGGACGTCGTGAAGGAGGACTGTACAGAAGGAGCATGAGGACTTGGGGATGACATGGAATCAAGTGAAACGGACTGCACAAAACCGTGTCTGGTGGAAAGCTGCAGCGGAGGCCCTATGCTTCGGTCAAAGTGAAGTGGACTAAGCACCTCTTAGGGGTGAAAAGCATTTCAAGCAATGTCCACAAAGCAGGGTCTTGGTACCTTTTAGAGGCTCTTTTCAAAATTTCCCACGAGCACCCCGTTCTTGTTATACCGGAGTCTCCNTTATAATTCTTGGTACATTTCCTTGCCGTCCTCTTCAAGACAACAACGTGAAATGGCCAAATTGTGCATTATTTGGAGAACGTGAACCACGACGGCTTATTTCCTTTTTAATTTTGATTTCAAGTTTATCTCTTTGTCCCAGATTCAGCTTCGTAATGGCTTTGACAGTGAAAAAAAAATTAATGACTTTAGAGTATCTTGAGATTCGTAGTTAAAATACAAAGCCATTTTGTTAATCGACGTTGTCCTTGCCGTTGCTGTCGTGGTCACTTAAACTTTGTAATAACCCATATATAACTTGGAAACAACGTCATAATTACTATTTAGGAATGGTCGCCATCTTCTTATGTTTCCTTATCTTGGATTACATCATGAAAAAATATATTTAAAAAAAACACCAAAACTGGTTCAAACATAGTCAAAACCGACAAAGAAAGTGAATGGTACCTAAAGAAGAATACCACTTTAGCCCATGCACTTACCAATGGCAAATAGCAACACAGAGGCGTTAAGGAGCACAAAAATGACATTCAAAACGACGGAGTCGTTCTCCATCTGGTCTTGGTGGTCTGGTCTCCAGTTTGTATATATTGCACCAAGGCAAACATCAAAGAAAATGACCCACAGCACAAACGTTTGCAGTCGATCTTCAAACTTTCCCTTTATTGGCCGGAAGAAGGTGTACGCCACTCCAAATGCGCTCACTGTCAGCATGGTGAAGCCAATTTGAGAAAGACTTTCAGATCCAAAGAGAAACACCAGTGAAATAAGAATCAGCTTACGATACATCTCTGTTATCTCCCAAAACCAAAATTTCCTCTTATAGTTTTCAAAGAAAACTCTCAAGCCGAAAGAAATTTCTTCTTCTTCCCGTGAATCGCGGTATTTGTACATGAGAAACAACAGCAGAAGTGGAAATCCCAAAGGATAAAATGAAAACACAGCAGCCATGGGCCAGAAAAAGTTGTGACGATAAGTAAAACATTGTATGGAGTAGTCCGCTCTCAGGAGGAAATAACATTGACTCTTTTCATCTGTGAAACACGTCTCTACACATGCACCAGGAAGAGGCAGAGTTTGGATAATTGTTTTACTTGTTGTTGGATAAGAAGTCAGTAAAAGCAGAAAAATGTTCCGATAGCAGGATTTTTTCAAACTCGAAACGGCTCGTAGTTTCTCGCTATCAAGGCAATCAACCTTGTTTTTGATGCACCTCTCTCTAAAGAAGAGGTAAAGAAGAATTATGCAAACAAAGAAGACATTCAGAGAGATGACCCCTAAGAATTTCACAAAATGATCTAGTCGAAATCCAGAATGAATGCAGCTCAATGGAGCAAACTGCAAAATATTTCCTTCGAACAAGTTGAGATATTTTTCCATAGAGATCAAAGCTACCGGCCATCGAACTCTCGCCAACGCCGAGAAGATACCAGCCATAACTTGGTAAAATCCAATCACTATTTTAAAGCAGGACATGATGATATCTGCAATGGTTCGATCATTCTCAGTGTGCTTTGAGTCTCCCCAAAGAACCATCAGAAACACAGCAACAAAGAGTACAACCAACAAAATGGATGAAATTATAGTCACGGTTAACCGCGGACATTTTAGACAGGTGTTAAATCGGAGGTAAAAGCCATTGGTACAAGAAGCACATAGGGTGCCTTGATATCCTTTTTGGCATTCTGAGTTAATCCCTCCCCTGCAGGAATTGGCATGAGGACATTTTATTGGTTTTGGTAGTGAAGTCGTAAACGTGGAAAAGGTGTTGTTGTATTCAGGTCCCCAAGAGTGGATGTTGCTAACAAAGTTATCATAACGCTCCTTCAGAGTTTGGTCGTACCATTTCCAAAAGTAATTCGGCGCGAGAATCGCTGTATCGTTCTCACAAACAAAACCATAAGCGGGACAAGCTGAACAGGCTCCAAATCGATCCAAGCGATAGAAATTGTGCAAGCATCTGCATGCACGATAACCAGCGGTCTCATTCGATAGAGTTCCTGATGAAAGGAAAATAATTACTTTTAAAACTATAAGTATGAACAAATCTGAGTCAATTAAATTTAACAATCATATTATGAGGGCGAGAATTCAATCGAAATAGTTAATTAGGGCGCATTCCGAGTCACCTATCACGCATAGAAATCGAGAGCTAATAGTCTAGTGCGAAGGCTAGTCTAGTGTAAATCTACAAGTCCTTTAAGCTTAACTAGTAAATTATCTAATCCTCTTCACTGACAAATCGTAAATACAAAGAAGCGGAGGCTATTTTGTTAACAATCGGACACTGACAGGCTACTCACTATCTACCACAGTATTGATTTTGAGTAGAATAGCCATTAAGTGAACGGCACTTGTGGTAGGACGGTATATGATTTAGTCTAGAGCAAAATGGCATCCCCTGTGTATAACATTTTGGTCAATCACAAGTTACGGTATAGCGAACCGATGAACACTCTAAGAACTTACATGCAGATACCTACGTTAAAATCAGATGACAACGTGGGCTAATTCGCAAACCAATCACATAGCGTACTCATGCAAAACCAGAAAAAGTGCGAATTACTTTCGACACTCCTTGACAAGTGAAAATCGCTGTCGTAATATAAAGAGCCGAACCAGAAACACATTCCCTACCATATGGGCATGCCCGGCAGCTAACGGCACTTGTAGCAGGGCGATCTTTTTCGGCGACAAAAGTACCATTACTACATAGTTTGCAGTCAACTTGCCCCATTTGGTCTTGATAGAAACCTCCTGTTGAGACAGCAACAATGTATCTTAGTATGGCTTAGAAGGAATAAACTACTAGAAGGGTGCGATCGCGAAGTTTTGATTGTTAGCATGTTTTCGCCTCTGTTTCTACATTATTCCACATCAAAGCTGACATATGAAAAACTATTTGAGTGATTCAT